GTTTAGGGAGCCAGGGAATGGAGGGCAGTTAGCATACAGTTCTCCATTCCGCCTGAACCATACCAGACCACATGCCTTCGACATTGGGATGATACCTTGCAAGGGGGGGGTGAAGCCTCCCTTTCCCCCTTGCAAGGCACAAGGCATTCTGTCCCAGTGTTAAGGGGACAAGGATCGCATCCTCTCTCAGTAGCATTGCCACCCCAAAATGACAGATCCCTGGCCAGCTGGTGTGCAAACAAACTAGCTGGGGATCTTGGGTGATGTCATTGACCAAATATGAACATGATCATATTTGCTTTGGTCACTAGATGTTCCTGAGGCAATGGTATTTGAAGATCAAATTACTATTTTAGTTATTAATGAATGATACAATGTAGAAAAAAACAAAAGACTAATTATTTTTTGAGGGACTTTAGTGAAATGCTGAAGTCCATACCTCTTGCTTTACAGCCTTACTTCTGGGGTGGTAATGTACTCATGCTTATCATTGCATTCATACTTGAGGTTGCTGCTCTGTAAAGCCCTGCCCTCTGAAAGCTGACATCCCACACTCTATTGAACCGGTGTTCTATCAAAGGTTGTGACTGGGTTTGAATGTGTAACCGGTCACTGGTCACACATTTTAATGTAATCACGCCCACTTTTTCGGCGGTGGAATATGTGACCGGCAAAAGGTGAAGAATTCCAACACTTTGTCAGCTGTTCCAGGGCAGATTAGCATCGCAGATTGTATGTGCAGGAGAAACGATCTGCCATAGAACAGCTGATCAGTCATGAAATGTCACTTCTATCCGACTCTATGAAATGTGAGATCGCAGTCACAAAGTCACATTTCAGGACCGATCAGCTGTTTCAGGGCAGATCAGTTCTCCTGCACATACCATATAAAACAATGGAGGATGCGTTGGAATTCTTCACCTTTTGCCAGTTACATATTCCCCCGCAGAAAAAGTGGACGAGATCACGTTAAAATGTGTGACCACGTGACCAGTCACACATTCCAACGCCGAAAAACTGGACAGGATTAGGTTAAATTTGTGACCACGTCAACGGTCACACATTCTGACGCAGTCAAAAACTTTGAAAGAATATTGGGTTCTTTTAAAGGAAATCAGAACCGCCTGCTAAGTATCCTGCTTAAGTGCTTGTCTATAAAAGCCTTAATCAGAGACTCTACAATGTTACATGACAGGTCAGATTTACATATACATTAGTGAAGTATTCAGAAATTAGTTAGTTGACATACTGACATTTTTTTTTTAATTTTTTGTAAGATTTGCATAGTGATGTTGGAATTAAGTGTTACTTCTATATACAGTAGTGTTCTTCCTGGAAACAATGCTTAGCTTTAAAATAAGTTATTTCATGTTCATTTTTTTTCTAGTACATTTATTGAATATGCGGGATAAGCTGTCACAATGAAACAATGTGGAACTGTTTCCAGGGGATATTAAAGTAAATCCAAGTCTACAGAAAACAGTTTTCTATTATTTTTGTAGAAGGTCTCATTAGTAATTGCTGGGAGGCGACTGATCTAGACATGTTCCACAAAGAAGAATGTGCAAAACATTTTTCATCCAGGGTGTACAGTGCTTTAAAAAGAAGGTCATTCTCTGCATCAGTGAGAAAGTTGAGACATATGTAACAAATAACAAAACCAACCAGTTTATCCATTCACCCTGCAGCTTCTGGAAAACATCTTGTTTCTTTTCTTCCTACAAGTGACATCAAAATCTCAATATTTTGTTTTTAAATTATTTATGTTGCTTTGCTTTACATTAAATGGCCAAAACATTATAACTTCAAAGCCAGCTGTCTTTACAACACATTTGCTTTTTTTCTGTCAGCTTTGTTAATTTTGTTCAGAACCCATCTTGCCTCCAACAGCAGTATTTGTTGCCTGAGCAGCAAGTTGCCAGACCTAAGCACTGTCATGGGGGTAACATGCATAGCCCTGTGCAAGCACTGACTTTTGTAAAGTAGATGTTTCTAAATCCTTCTGGAAACATTCTACGGCCTGCATCTGGTTAGTGGATGTTGCATAGAGAATATTCATGGAAAGAGAGGACTCTTGCAGGAAATGAATGGAGAAATATTGGGAGAGTAAAATGTGCTCTTCCCAATACTTTGAGCCCACGTATGACACTGAGGGTGTCAAATGCCGGCTCTATAGATCGAAGCTAAATGATCATGAACCGCAGATCACTCAGCTCATGTTTTTCTCTCTGCAGAGAGCAGTAACTGTCAGTCACTGCTCCCAACCAGGATTCCCCACTCCCCTCTCTCTGTTCCTCCAGTGCTTATTGGAGGGACAGACAGGGGAGGGGGCGGGCACAACTGATTCAGCTCTAGAGCAGCAGAGTCAGCTGTCAATCAGGCAGCAGGGTGGATCCCAACAATATTGTTCTTCACATGCCCTGCCTTAGGAATGGGATCCTGGGAGACCCCGAAACGTTGTACTCTGTGCGTGATATATGCTGCATCTTTGTCAATAAATAGACGTATTTGTACTGTACCATATTTCTCTTTCCAGCCTGCAGCACACCTCTTCATTGCCAGCATATAGCAGGCAGCAGCACACTATATGCTGAGTTTGCGTTACAGGAGTACATCAGTAAATGTACTCCTGTGACCCAAAAGAGAACTAAAGACAAAAATGTTTCTGCTTTAGTTCTCTTTTGAAAAGGTCTGTAAGAAGGGATTATGAGATATAGGGACTGCTAACTTTGGTGCTTTATTCTGCATCCCGCTTAGGGCCTGTTCACACGATGTCGATTGGGCTACATTTTTCTGCAAACCATCACACATGTATGGTGCAAACAGAAAACATTTTTTGTTGAAAGTGCAGGAAAACACAGCTTAATGGACATAGTGTAACAAAGCCCTTATAATTCCTGCCTCCTTGTGGAGCAGCTTGCCTGTGAAGGGACATGATCAGTGCATCATACAGTCAGGGCTGTCCCTATAATGAAGCAGCCTGAGGTGGTTGCCTTAGGTGGTATTTAATAAGGTCATGGCAAGAGCTCTTAGCAACCTGTGATGTCCTGGCCAGCATTCCACCCAGCTCAGTGATGTCAATGGTTGAATGATGCCAGGAGTTGAGCTGGATGTTCTGGTTGGTGTTCCATCCAGCTCCTAGCAACCAGTGATGTCAGTGAGCTGGATGGGATGCCATGCAACTGACCCTTACCCCCAAATCATGCATCACGAGCAGCACCACACCCCTCTGAGCCTCAGGGGGTGAGACCTCTATGGAAGGACCTGCATACAGTACAGTACAGTAATCCAAAAATACTACATTCCACTAATGCCACTATATCAGACCTGCATGTGCAACAACTGTATTATGTGGTTTTTAGATACGACAGCATAGTAAAATTGTGCTGTAACAGCTTGATGTTATCTGCATTTTACTAAAATTTAACACAGATCGTGGAATTAAAAGCAGGACAATTTATAACACAAGACAAAAACAAGTAACATTGTTAATACGTATAATTAAATTGCTCCCTGGCTTATGTTAATATTACATTAAACATCCAATTGTGTATAGGTGCTAAATGAAGTGCTTAAAAGATTTGTCCAAAGTACAAGTACATCAAAGGTAATTAATGTTGATTACTGGACTCTAATTAAAATGCCTATAGGATAGATAGCTAGTCAGATCAAGCCTTCTTTTCATTATAATGTTGCACTCCCCTTAAGCCATCACACAAATATACTGTACAGTGGAGTAATTTTTTGTTATTATAAACCCTAGACGAAAACAAGCACTTAATGCTTGCAGTGCAGGGTAGCCCCACTGCAAGGGTTTAGTTTCAATCTGCCTGGAGTTGTTCTTTAAGAGAACACTTATAATCCCCACCTCCATACACCATTAGGGACCATTGAGGGTTGGGTACACAAGTATGTCAGATGATCTTATCGAAGTGTGGGAGTCTGTATATCTGTTCATATGAAAATCAGTATTCTTCTTTTTTTATTATTATCATTATTATTATTATTCTGGTAGTCTGTTAAGAAGTGATCTTTATGTAAGATTTGATGATAAAAAGCAAAACTTCCAAAATAGAAACCAGACCAAGTGACTTCCCTATGCATGAAAAGATAAGGACTGGTGTGCAAAAAATGGCTGCAGATGCTCTGGACTGATAAGTAAAAATGTTAAATGTTCGGCAGTGACGGAAGAAAGTGTGTTTGCAGAAAGCCTGGAGAACACTACAAAAGAGTTGGGGATTTGGTCAGAATTAATGGTCTCTTTAATGCTGAAAGGTACAGGAAGCTATTTATCCACCATGCAGTGACATCAAGGAGGCATCTGATTGGTTCCTAATTAATACTGCAGTGGAGCAATGACCCCAAACATACAGACAAAGTAACAAAGAACTCTTTAAAGAAAATTGTTAATGAAAAAAAAAGTCTTGGAGTCTGCCTGGGGTTGTGTAAAGAGACATAAGCAATTGAGACTAAACCCACAAAATCCACAAAATCCCTAAAAGGACTTCTATGTGTTTGAAGCAACCTACATGCCGAGTTCTTTATAATAAAACTGTATGCAAGGGTACTTAGGAGAGTTCATGTTGTTTTAAAAGCAAAGGGTAGCTTTGATTTTGGTATTTTAACTGTGAAGGGTTTTAATTGATAACTAAAAATTATCCCTTGCATTTAAAAAAAAAAAAAAGCATTCTCACTTTAAAGAATGTTTTCACAAGTGGCTACTTTTGCACAGTACTGTATATATCTACATAACATGAAAGTAGTATAATGTCTTGTCATATGTGCTCTATTTGCATGATGCTAGTTATTGGTATCTCTGTCTTTATAAATGTACTGGGAATTACCAGTAAGCATGGTTACAGTGTTTAGGTTTTAGACTATACTAGCTGTCAACATGATCTTCTTGACATTTCACCATTTACATGATGTAAACATATACATAAATGTCAAATAACTGTAGTTTCCCATTTAGCAAAAAAGTCTGTTTTGTTTATTTTCAGAAATTGCCCCAGGAATCCCAGCAATATCAACAAGTACAACATTAGAAATAAGAAAAATCAGTGTTATGACAACAGAGACCACCTCAAAGGTTGACAAGAAAATCACTCTGGTAACAAGCAACAGCATATGCCCTTCAGGAGAGACTGAGGAGGAAAAGGCTAAAAGACTTCTTTACTGTTCACTATGCAAAGTCGCTGTCAACTCTGCCTCACAGCTGGAGGCTCACAACAGTGGTAAGAGACTGCAATTTTCTCACTGCCACTGCAGCCATGCAATTACCATGTAATCTAAGCAGATGGTGTCAAAGGTGAATGAAGTGTGGACAGGGAACTGGTAGATTACATAGACTCCATTATCTATAAATACATGCCTTTCTGAAGCTCTATAGCATAGAGTAAACATTATAAATGCAACAAATAATACATGAAATAATATTAACTCATCTAAATTAGCTAATACATTGCATCTCTACATTTTCATTTCTTTTGATGGATAGATTAATATAAATAAAGGAAACACATGCATGAAAAACCAGCATATATCATCAGATCGACATTATCCAAACATCAATTAGAGGGACGTATAGGTTGTTCTATTGAATCCAGGCTATATTTATTGATTTATTGATCTGTCACTGAATGACTATTGAGTTAATAATTTGGCCTAGTGCATAATGTCATCCTTATAACAGTCTTAATATAGGGCAAACATTGATTGTTCTACCGAACAATGAATGTCCTGAATGTATTTTTGTTTTGTCTTTTTTAAATCAATTGTGAACCTATGGTGAAAACAAGATTTCAGATTAAGCCTTAGTAGTAGGTAGCCAACATTCTAAGATGTCAGCACATATCTCTTATTACAGTTTTGCCACATAAACTATATAAATAGAAACTTTTGCTTATTTAAATATGCATGGGCAGTCCAGCCACACAATATTTGAAAATGCCCAGGCCTGCTGATTGGTCAGTCATGCACCAGGCATTACATTATGTGATGAAGTTAGGGGGGTGCTACTCTTTTGGTAGATCTAGTTACTAAGGATGTGAGAGATTCTGCATTTAGGGGTAGGTGCTGGCAGCTTATAGTGTTAGCTCTCTGCTACTGCTGTTTTGTAGTTAAATTGTTGTACTGGTTTGCTTCATAGTAAAATGTCACATACTTAAAAAAACATATAATTGCTACAAAAGCCATTTTTTGTATTATAATGCTACCATCCATGACATTTCCATTCAAATCTGCAACCTCTGTAATTTCTGAAATGGTGACAGGTTGCCTATTTCCAATTTGGCAAATTGGAGGTATTCCATGCACCATTTTTTCACAGAATGCCCCCATAATGTAATTTCTGTCTGTGTGATTGATTCACTGCCTTTCTCGGAAGTTTGCGCTGGGATACAAATACAGTTTTATGCTTCTCCTGCAATAGGAGTTTTATTTTTGGTGAGGTACTCTTGAAGGGATGCAGACACTGTAGTTTTCCTCATAAGAACTCTGAGCTTTGCTCAAGTGGTTATAATAAAGGCAGACCCATCATTTAGGAATCAATCTGGAAAGGACATGTGAATTCAACACCTATTTATTCAGAATCGGTAGGAATCTGCTACAAACTTTACTAAAATCTTTGAAATGTGCAGTGTATAGATCCCCAAAAGGGATTGTATTTTCCTCAATAAAAAAACTGAAGTTACATTTTAAAACACTATTATGGTTGTTGTTTACTGTCTATTCATTTGTTTTTCTTGATTAAAAGTGAAAATGTTACATTCACAAACATCTGCAGCCAAACAAAATAGAATTGCTGATAACCTTAATTACAACTGATGGGATTCTGCCATGCCTGAGAATACAGTGGTTGCTATGTTGTAACATTTAGTAATGGCAGATTTCCCCAGAGAAAGTCCTCAACATTCTATTAGCTAGAAGGAGCAGGAGATTGTATTAAACTTCTAACCTCACCTTTAAGTAATATCTGGATCTTTGTTTTAAATGCTATTTTCATCATCTTAAAAGGAAGAGGAGCATTGCAGCTTCCAGGCTCTCATACACAAGGACTTGGACAGTGTTATCAAACACATCATTAATAATTCTAAATTCAGCTGGAGGCCTATTTAAGGAGTAAATTACAAGTCTTCACTGCCAAAATTATTTCTCTCCACCATGCCAAAAGTTCTGCTTAAGTGAAAAAGAACTGTAACAAGCTTGAATGTTTCCCTTCGCTTTACAGCATCTTTCTTTTATTTGGATTATATGCTGAATTGCATTCAACATCTATAACATTTAAATATTTCTTGACTATTTATTTAGGTGAGGTGAATGAGCCTAATAGAGAAGTGAATTGAAGTTAAGAGAACTTCTGAAAAATACTCACTCCATTATTTTTAGGTAGAAAATTATTTTCAAGTACTACTAATCACAGAGAGGTAGTGAAAAAAGTCTAATATAGAACGCTTACAAGCAATTAAAGTATATTTATAGCCCAATATTTTTATTTCGTTTTGGAGAGAATGGAAAAAGGCTTGAACCTTTGTCAGGTGTCTGTGCCACTGCTGGGGAGATTCACCTCTCTATTTTTCCTGGTGACCTTTATCACTTAATCTGAAAGTAATTGGAAATTATTCAAAATGTTTCCATTGTCACTGGAACAGGAGGTGAGGAAAAATCTTCTAATGGGCAGTCTTGGTAGGGGACTGCTGGCAGCTGTCTAAGAAGGGATTTTGCTTAATTTTGGAAAATTTTATTCACACTTCCTGATGTGTCTTCAGGAAAGAAACTCAAGGCAAATCTTCCCAATGAGACAAGGACAGCAAAAACAGTTTGGGATATAGATACAGTTTTAGTTGTTTGTAATTTTGATGTTTATTTAAGATAATTAACAGCAAAGATGTTGTATAAATGTTCATGCTTTAATAGTGTATAGCATGTTTGGGAAATGAAAGATAAAAAGGTAAAAATGATGTCACCAAGGCTGAATTTACCTTTACTCACATGCTTGTGCCTATAGGTAGCAGCAGAATTAAAAAAACTTTGAATTGTTAACAATTGTTTTATATTGTGGATTTCCAAGTTGACACTGAATTGAGACCATTCAGTTTCAACACAGGAGAGGACATGCTAAAAGTGTGGGGAAAAAAGGTAAGGCTGGAGTTCAGCTTTAAGAATAGAGAATGACATAGATGCACAGGGCATTGGTAAGTAGGCGTGGAAGTGATACAGACAGAAATGTCTCTCGTCCTTAATATCAAACTTAATTTAACATAAAAAAATGTGTAAAAAAAAGTCTTTAACCCCTTCGTGACTGACGATGTACAGTGTACGTCGCCAGCATCGTGGCTGTTTAAACAGACTCCCGGCGGCAATAGCTGTTTAAACTGGTGAGACAAGTTGTTTTACATGCTGGTTTGTGAGTGTGCCATGATGCCTTTCTACTGTTTTACTGTTCAAAGCCCATTTCGTGTGCACCTTACTGTATAACTGGTGACAAATTGTTGAGTGCGTTTGTCGTTTGTTTTGCTTGACCGATTTGGTGCAGCGACGCATGGGGTTTCTCAGCTGCCATTGCGATGTGCGGGATCCCTTGTGTGTTTCTGTGCTTTTAAGGAGGCTGGGCGTCCTCCTGACAAACCTGCACCCAATTTGAAATCTTCTGCCCCCATGTGCTCCAAGATGGAGACTCTCATAGTTTAGAGTTAGGACCGCACTATAAGAGGTGCCTTGGCGCGGCAGTGCGGCTTTCACATCCTCTGCAGAAGACGTGTATCCTAACCCCTGTTATTATCCTTAGTGGTGAGACAAGTTGTTTTACATGCTGGTTTGTGAGTGGGCCATGATGCCTTGCCACGTAAACACGCGTCAGGTGCGCCTACAGATGAAAACGATGAACGCGATACACATGTTGGGTATCGCCGCGCACGCCGGAGTGAGAGCAATAATTCTAGGGCCAGTATTTTTGGGTATCTCTAAATTGATGACCCGTGGGGGCTTTTAAAGCATCTCTTATGGACTTTTTGGGGTACTGCAGTTTTTCGCCGTTTCACGGACGCACGCAATTTGTAACCTGGGCATGTTGGGTATCGTTTTACTTGTTGTAACCTAATCTTTTATATTTCATTAAAAAATTTGTATTTTGTTGTGTTTTGGGGCATTTAATTAAATTTTTCGCTAAATGTTGGGATTTAATAAGGAGTTGCGCTAATATTGCGCAACATAAAAATTTGCAACTACCACCATTTTATTCTATAGGGTCTTGGCATTCAGAAAATATATATTGTTTGGGGGTTTTAACTCATTTTCAGGCCTAAAATGTGGAATATAACATGGGTGCAAAAAATGGGAAAAAAAGGCCTCAGTCATGAAGGGGTTAAAAACAAATTAATTCAATACAAAAATCATGAATAGGCTTTCTGCAAGAAAAAACTCTCTCATCCCTAACAAATCAGCTTGTAGTTGCCAATGCCATTGAGAGGGTGAATGGGTGTATCTGATTGCTGTAGTTAACACATCGTCATATATGAGGCTCAGAAACATTATACAGTGTTCCTTTATTTGACAGTTTCTGATAAGAGATTAGTAGGTTGTGATGGTCTCACACAATAACATCAATGGTTGCTGCACAGCAGAATCCAAGAATTATCATATGCTCCTTAATTTATATATTTTATCAGTGTTGGATGCAATTATTTTAAAGATATGCTGGCATCTACCTTTCTTGTATATATTGTGGATCAGATTATTAAGCCTGTATATTTGGAAACCAATATGCTACTCCATTGTGATGCTGGTATAACTTGTGCTGCCTGTGAGCTTATGCTGTGGACAACGGAATAGCCCATTTTTCTCTATGATCCAGCGAGAGAAAAATATCTTGACAAGGGTAGCATAAGAACATAAACAGCACTAACTTTAGCAACAGTATTACCAGTGAATTACAAACATGCATGCAACATACATGCAAACCACATGCTTAAGAGGTACTATTATTATTATTATTATTATTACATAGTATTTATATAGCGCCAACAGTTTGCGCAGCGCTTTACAATATAAGGAAGACATTACAGTTACAATACAATTCAAGACAAGATGGTAAGGAGGGCCCTGCCCCTGAGTGCTTACCATCTGAAAGAGGAGGGGGAAATGATACATGAGGAGGTAGCTGTGGTAGCTGTGGGAATGATTTATTTGAGAATGTGAAGGTTCAGTGGTTAGGTCGAGGTGGGATAGGCTTCCCTGAAGAGATGAGTCTTTAGGGAACGCCTAAAGGCAGTCAAGGTGGGAGATAGATGGACAGGTTGGGGTAAAGAGTTCCAGAGACTCTAGAGAAGTCCTGGAGGCGAGTATGGGAGGAGTGGACAAGGGAGCTGGAAAGCAGGAGGTCAATGGAAGAGCGGAGGGGACGGTTAGGGTGATACTTAGAGACAAGGTCTGAGATATATCCGGGGGGCTCAGTTGTGGATGGCTTTATAGGTGACTGTTAATATTTTGAATTTTATCCTCTGGGCGAGTGGAAGCCAGTGTAGGGATTGGCAGAGGGGGGATGCAGACACTGAGCGGTTGGTAAGGTGAATGAGTCTGGCAGCTTCATTCATGATAGACTGAAGGGGGGATATCCTGTGTAGTGGAAGGCCAATGAGGAGGGAGTTACAATAGTCAAGACGAGATATAACAAGTGAGTGGATGAGTAGTTTTGCGGTGTCATTGGTGAGGAAGGGGCGTATTTTTTAGATGTTACGAAGGTGAAGGCGGCAGGATTTGGATAGCGATTGGACGTGGGGAAGAAAGGTGAGGTCTGAGTCAAGGATGACACCTAGGACCTTGGCATGAGGGGAGGTTTGGATAGTTGTGTTATCAATCACAACTGAAATGTTGGGGAAAGGTGCACGGGGTGGAGGAAATATCATGAGCTCAGTTTTTGAAAGGTTGAGTTTTAAGAAATGTTGTGACATCCAGACTGATATGTCATTTAGTAGATTAGTGACACGCAAGGACACTGAGGGGGAGAGTTCTTGTGCCTCTTATTTACTGATTCCAAGGCAGTACACAGCTTTGTCCAATGGTTGTTTTTTTAAAGCTATAGTTAGCCTATAACTAGCACAGTGTTCAAAAATAATTGGGCATAGTCCAAAGTTTCAAAACAAATCTTACTTAGGAATAATTTACGTCAGACAAAGAAATTTTCATTTCATGTTTTCCCAGTCTGGCAGGTACTGTATATACAGTTAATACTGTTAAATATCCAGATCTGCATTTTTCATTTAAATGTAGTGAACAGATTTATTCATAGCTCAACAAGTTCCTGCTCAGTTTAAACTCTTAATTATGAATTTATTTTCACTGTGTTTAAATAGTTGCATTACCCATCTTATTAGAAACAAAAAAACAGCACAAGACACAAAATGCATAAATATGTTATCTGTTGTTTTAGTCCAAAACTACACTTCTCTTTAAAAAGGGCATTAACATAGAATACTATATATTGGAGTAAGCTAAAATGTAATAACTTTAATACTTTTATTTATATTGTAATTGTCATTTTATACCATATTCTAACACTAACTGCAGGATTAATTTTACATATTTTATGTGGGGTAGTACTGACCCACATAAAAAAATTTTTCTAAGGGGAAACATACTTTTATACAATAAATGTAATTCAGTAAATCTGTAGTGTATATTTTAACTTTCAGTCATTTAGAAGAATGTTATATTGTTTTTGTTGCCTTTTTCCATATTCACAGGTACAAAGCACAAAACCATGGTGGAAGCTCGAAATGGAAGTGGCACCATTAAAGCATTTCCCCGAGCCGGAGTAAAAGGAAGATTGCTTATCAGCAAAGGGAACACGGGCCTTCAAAACAAAACATTTCACTGTGAAATCTGTGATGTCCATGTCAATTCTGAGACTCAGCTTAAACAGGTAACAGAATTATAACAACAGTAAACCAGTAATATAAACTTTAAAGTGACTCTGTTGCTATTATGTTAGGCTAGCACTCTGTCACTGTGAGAAGAGGCAGTATGATCACTATTTAGCATGCAAAGAGTCCCTGACCAGGTGTGGGTCTGGATGGTAGGCTTGTGAATGGTATTTATGCATCACCTAGGTTTCCCACCCACCCTAAATGCCTCCAGAGTTGGTGCCTTCAAGCTTAGTAAGTTGTGGTATGGACCCTGGAGAATAGAGGCTTTGTAGAGTTTTTGGTGGAATAAAGCCTCCAGTCCTAGGTCTACATCTTAAATGCTAGCCAATCCTTGTGTCCTTTTGTTTCAGAGCTAATTGAGGCTCAGGACTCCTTTGCCTCTCAGAGAAAGAGGAGGGGCACCCAGGAGGATGAGGTATGCCGTTAGGTTCCTTCCTCTCTCCTGACACTGTCGGGCTCTCGATCCATGACCGAGTGCACGACTTTTTAGAGGGGGGGACACCAAAATGACTGTCAGTCATTTTGGTGTCACCCTTCCAATGGTGTCACCTGGGTGTGGGCCGCACACCCCGCACACCACTTGTAACGCCACTGAGTATATTTGACTACAGGCACTCAAGGAGTGTGTATGTCCTGGCTTGGGAGACAGGAACTTTGAACAGGCTGAAGCCTGAGATGAAAACTTTAGTCTGGAAGGAAACACTGAGGGGCTAAGCAGTCCAAAAAGCCAGGAGGCTGTATTTTGCTTTGTATTCTTTATGATGATGAAACTCCTGCAAGAGTAATCTGATGTAAAGGTGTTTGCTGAATGAATAAAAGTAGACGGGAAGCCCCTAAAAACATAGGTTTACACAATATGTAAAAAAAAAAATGAGTAGGCCAAAGCCCCTCTGGACTTAAACTCCCTTTCAATATGCATTTACCAGCTGGGTTCTAACGCCTGTTTTTTTATTTTCAAATGTGGAAGGATCAAACCATGACAGTTCATTGCACTATGGGAATCTTTATACAATGCTGCTCTGGTGTTTTTATGATTAATTCAGCTGTGGGAAGGAATACCACCTGCTTCAGGAAGGAGTACAGTAGTATTAGGAGTCAAAAGGCACAGATCTGCAGAAATAGGGACAGGCCATAATATAGTCACTCATGCTCCATTGGTCCTTCTAGTCATCTTACTGTATAATTTGTAATTTGTGTTTTACTTAAAAGAGGTAATACTTTTTAATGTGGTGTTCTAATTTGTGCAGTACTCTCTTTTTCAGAGTAATTTTTGGTGATACTCTTTTAGTTTTCTTGTTTGTTTTTTTTTTACTAAAGGAATTTTTGTCAAGAGAGAAACATGAAGACTACCACTGCTGACCTCTCCTTCTGAAATTGCTAGTTGTTGGGCTATCATGCTGTCCCTCTTGAGTCAGTTGTCATTGGCGCAGAAGAAGTATGTAGATTCAGGCTTTTGAGTTTACTTTGACTTTGTTGACTTGTTTTGGGTCAATGGCTTGTAAAATATTGAAGTCAAAGGGTCAGCACAATAGCCAGGTGACTAATATTTTTAGAAGGTCAGTGATGAAAACCCCCAGTTTTTACCTCTTGACAGGTTTATTTTAAAGCTACAATAATGTTTTAGTTTACAGAGAACACATTTCTTCCAGTATTGGGCACAGTTGTATGTAGTTGGGTATACCGGAGGAATAATTGTTTAAATAATTTTGTTGCTCATGAAAAATGAGTTGTTATTAAAAATGTATAAATATATTGTTTTCTGTAACCTGTTCTCAGCTGGAACTTGTGCTAGGGGAAATCAATGCTGGAATCAATGGCAGCCAGTGACAACAACGGTCCAGCATAAGCTCAAGCATAAGCCTAAGAGAGCTCCCACTAAGAGGGCTGCTTAAAAGTATAAGACACCTCTGAAACAAAAATGCTTCATAACTCAAGGGTGTCATAGGGGAAAGTCTCAGGGACTTGTCAAGTGTCAGGGAATCAAAACCTTAAAGTATAACAGGATAGAAAGTGAAAGAAAATCCCTTAAAAAAACTAACAGCAGTTTTAACCCTATCATACTATATCTAAAATGAATAAAATGGTTTGAATTTAGATATACTTTAAGCAAAATAGTAATTACAGCTACAGTTTAGAATAGATACTACTTTGAAAGTAGTGTAAACATTTTAAAGCTGATGTATATTCTTTTTTGCTTATATATTATTTATTTGAATATTGTGTTTAGGAATACAAACATTACAGTCTTGAAATATTTTATGGTCAAGTAGATACAGTATGAATGTAATGCATATAAATATTAAATATTTACCCTTTCAGCCAGCAGAGTGCAAGATTCTAGATAGTTGGTGTATAGCAGTGCTGGAAATTCAGAACAGGATATCAGGATCCCAGATTACACATACATACATTCACAGCTAAATGCAAGAAGTGTGCTCTTTTATTGGAATTCTCTTATTGGAAATGCCAGGATACTCTGTACAAACTAAAGCTAGAGAGCACCTTTGCAAATGTAAAAGGAAATCACCAGTGTTTCCCTTTAAAAATTCAACATTTAACCCTTAATTTAGCACATATATGGAGAATTGAAAGCCTAAGCCTCGAGACTAATTGGTGTTTTTAATGGGAGCAGAGTTTATTGATACATGAAAAAGGAAAATAAGAGGCCAAGTGATTCTTAGCTATTGTCGCGCCATAAGCATTACAGATATGGATGCAATTATCTTATAACTTGCAAATACCACAGATAGAAAGACAAATGCCTCTAGGAAAAATGTATCTTCTAGAAAGACAGTTCCATTTTTTTTATCTTGAAGGCAGAACTGATTACAGCTCAGTTTGTCAGAAGAAAGAATGCTTATATTGTTATTGATATAACATCATCTTTTTCTACAGGGTACTCATTATTTTATGTACTAGCATTGTTAAATTTTGTGATCTATGTTATCTTTAGTGCTTAAATAATAATTGTAAATGCAGAATGCTTAAATTTCTACTATTATTGTACAGGTATAGGTTTTAAGCTTACATTTAAAAATACAATAATCATATATTTATGTAATATGGCATTTAATAAGATGCAGATATACATATGATCACATCCCATCAGTTTGCCAGGATTAAGGATATTTAAAGCCCAAATCCAGCCAAAACATTTCATTTTATTTTAAATAGAGAAGGGAAGAATTTGAGCCCCTGTCAGGCCATTGCTCCATTTGCTGACCTTGTAATCAGGGTAAACAAGGCATTTAAAGCTAAAATGTAATCGGCTTATATTTTGTCAAAAAAAAAACCCTACCCCCCAAAAAAACTTAAATTAAATGTTTGAATAAAATCTTTACCTACCTTTTATTAGACCAAGTAATATCATTACTGTCTCTGCACTTCTCTATGCAAAGCAGGCAGGTCATGGCTGGTGGGAGGGACTGACAAAATAACTTGATGGGTAGACGTCAGTCTGAAGGAGTGAGGGTCCCTAAGCAGGCTGCATTTGAATGTTCCAATATGTGATGCTGAACCTTTATGATTTAAAAAACAGCAATCCAACGAATGAAAAGGGGAGGCCAAGAACATTAAGGACAGTGAGGAAAGCTAGATGATGCTGGATGTTCTCCAGCCAGGAAACAAGGATGGTTTCTCTGACCTGTGGCAGTATGTAATGCACAATGTGAGAAATTCACAGTGTGCTGTGAAACTAGAGTAAGCACTTCCAGTACAGGAGAGAAGCATGTGCAACTGTGCAAGACTGAAGGGAAGGCTGGAGTTCAGCTTTAATCATTTTTATCTTACAGTGTTTTGGTGCTAGTTTTAAAGTACATAATCTTGTATTGTATACTCTTGTAGTCATGGCATTGAAACTGTCCTTTGTGTTGTAAGAAAAATACAATCTTTCCTTCCTAACAACTGACTTTTAATGTAACATAACTAACTATTTCTGTTAAAAATACCTTTTATTAAATCTGAGAAGCAGAATAATGTAACATACTGTAGTTGTTAATTCATACCGTGTTCCCTTTTTGTCTACCCTTCTTTGTTTCAAAAGAGGATTCAACAAAGTTAATCACTGTGATTGTCTTTACCCCAAATAAAAGTGTTTGCTGCCTCACACTGCAAGGATAAGTCAATCCAACTGATAGAACCAGCCCTGCTTACCCGTTCTTTTGTCTCTCAGCATGTGGTGTGCTCAGTTCAAGAAGTTACAGGTGATCGTAAAGCACAACAAATTTTCTAACAATCCTATGATTCCTCTGTCAGTCCCACCCTACCCGCGTTACATCAAGTATCAAGTGACTACATCAGGGGAATAACAGAGGAAGTGGATCTCAAAACTAAATACTTCACTATTACCATACTAACTGTGTAAACAATGGGAGCTCTGTTTAGCACACCATAGCGGTTGATAAATATCACCTCCGACTCAAGCTGATGGCCATGCAAGACCAAAAACTGATATATGTAGAACTAGTTAAAATCATATAAATTCATATATACTGTATATACAGACAATGACGCCAAACAACTCAAATTCATGGAAATAATAAAACCACATTGCAAGTGTTAATAAATGGACGATGAATCCCATATGATGTAATAAATATACAATATGTCTGATGTTTAAATAAAATACATAGATAAAGTAGTAATAATCTCATCACCCCCACTTCAAATCTTTAATAAATACTGAATGAATATGGAAGATACAAAGGAAATATAAAAGAGGAATATAAAAGGACCTTTTTAGATCTGAGATAAAGCAGCTGAGGTTAAATTCTACATTTAACCCTTTGGGTACCATCGTATCTGCCCTGTAAATCCATTCAGATTCTTTTTTGCTAACTCTCTCCTCCAATTTCTTTCTCACCAATGTCTTGTGATTTTCTCTAATCCCCCAAAACTGCAAACCCTCTGGTCTGCCATGTGTTATTTATTCAGATATATTGCATCATATATGTGCATATAATCTATTATTAAACCAGACGTATCCAACACTGCCCTA